TGGAGAGGAAGAGAAGAGAAAAAATACACGCAGAGGAGAACCTGAGAGACAGACCAAGAAACCGGAGAAGCACATAGACTGGGATGAAAGAGAGAAGGAAAGACAGAAGGAGAATTGGGGGGTGAAGGAGAGGGTCCGTCGCAGAGGTAGACAGATAAAAAGAGGCAAAATCAGGGCAGAGGGAAGGAGCCACTGCAAAATGGTCCAGAGGAACAAATAAAACAAGGAACGAGGGGAGCAGAGGAAAGAGAAGGAAAATGAATGACTTAGAAATCGAATACCTAGAAAGTGGGAGAGACAGACGGGGAGTGAAAAACAAAGGAGAGGGAGGCAGTGAAACTGCACAAGTCAGGTGGAAAAAGGATGATCGTGGAGAGGTAAAGAAAAATCAGATCACTTGCGCTGCGGGCCAGGTTTTCGATCCCGGCCATCCTGGGCGCAGCGAGTCGCGGGCCGCTCGGAGCCCCGGGGGCGCGGGCCTGGCGGGCCTGGGGACGCGCGAGGGCGCAGCGGGGAGCCAAGGGCAGTCGGCCGGCTACGCGCCCCTCCTGGGGCCGCCGGGCTGACTCCAGAGCGCCTGGAACTGACTCCGGGCCCATTGCGCGCATCGCGGCCCGCAGCTGCGGCAGCCGGCCGGGAGGCCTCTCCCCCGCCGAGAGCAAAGTTGGCAAAGTTTCTCCCAAAGTTTCCCCGACGCTTCTCGGGACCCAGGGACCGGCCTCGAGGCCCTGGCGACCGGTGGGGAGCCGCAGCCCATTCCCGGGCGGCTCTGTAGGCCGCCGGCCCGTGCCTCCTGGGATCCCCGGGGTCCGAATTCCGGCCTGATGCAAATCCCTCCCGGTGCGGACGCCAGGCCACGCACTCCGGCGTCCGCACCGCTGCTAATAGCGGAGAGAGAGAATGCGGAAGAGGGAGAGAGAGGGAGAGAGAGAGAAGAAAAAAATATTCTCAGCTCAATTTAAGTCTCATGGAAAGGGCTTACAACTGTAATTAAATCATTAAATTCTTGTCTACGCTTCACAGAGCGGAGAGAAATTAACTTCCCACCAACCTCATTTTCTATTTGAACATGAAATAATGATTTTCTGCCCGTCTAATTACAAAGCCAACATCTGATCAAGCCAGCATCCAGAGGGGATTATCGCATGCACGAGTATTAGACCTCATTACCAGCTTGAGTGCAAAATTATTACATCTTGTAATTGGATGGTGAGATTTATATACAGATCGGCCCGGTTTCTGTAAGATTGTAATTACAAGCTTCGTTGGTTAGCTACTTATCAGAACTTTGCAGGAAAACAAAACAAATGACTGAGGAAAACGAGCATTTCATTAACCTGTAACCCGAGCGCGGGGGGGGAGGGAGCGGTGGGAGCGAGCGCCGCGGCGTCTGCAGGAAGCGGAGGGATCGGCGGCCGCACTGCAGCCCGGGGACTTCGGTTCTGGGAGGGAAGGACAGAAGACCGGCCTCGGCGGGGAGACCTAGGGCTGCAGCGGCGCCCCCCGACGGGGACGCTAGCCCGCCGTGAGGTTGGGCGAGGAGAGGGCAGAAAGGGGGCCTGGCGGCTAGCGACTCGCGTGCAGTGCTTGGCACTGCCCCTGAACCTGGCGGGCCGCGGGCTCTGGGCAGACGTCGGGCCGAGCGGCACCAGGTGCGAGTCCAGCGAGCGCTGCTGTGTGCACCAAACGTGTGCTATGGTCACCCTCTCCGTACACTGCCACACTCGGGGCCGCGTAGAGAGAGCGTCTACAGCAAGCCTCCGAAGCGTTGTGTGCGCTGGGGACGTTGGAAGAAGGAGAAAAGACGGAGAAGCTTTTGTGTGCGGCGCGTTTTTGCGCGCATGACTTTCCCAAATCAACTTCCCGTGCACCTGCTTCTCCTCCCTGTGTGAGTGTGTAACTTTGACGTCCTCCCTTGGATTAGAAATCTCTGGAAATGGTTCGGCTGTCCTCGAACTCGAGAGTGCAGTCCGGGGCCGGGCTCTACTGGCCAGGTCGAGTTGCGGAGCTAGTGCCACGTCGGGGCTCGGCCGCCTGGGACGCTGAGTCCCGAAGTAAAGCGCGGACCTCCCGGGCCAGGGCTGATCTCTGCGGGACGCTAGGGTAACGGAAAGGCCGCTTCTGCTCGGGACCTGGGACGCCGGGAGGGACCTGATTAATCGAGGTTCTTGGGTATGCGAATGGGTTTGGGGGTTCTCCTTTTGGGCCATGGGAGCCCTCGGACCTGCGTGGTTGGTTCACAGAGAACCACCTCGCCCCTTCCCTGGCCTCTTTCCCACCTTCCGCAGCTCGACGCAGGCAGGTCGATAGCTGGTTAATGCGGAGGAAGCATCTCCCCGGCTCATGGTTTTGTCTTTTCCTTCAGGAAGAGCTGAGTTTTAAAAAGTGAGCGTTTCATCCGGGCATTTACAGCGCACCCCACAGTCTCCCCACCTCGGAATCTGGCTCTTGGCTCTCTGCGGTCCGGTGCCACCATTTGGTGCAAACTCTGGGGTTCAGGGCCGTCGAGGCTCGAGGTCGGACACCTAGGAAGCACTCTGGGAAATAATGGTACCCTCAATTTTGTAACCCCTGGATTTTCCGTGAGAAGGTGACTCCATGATTCCCGAAGCCACTTGGCTGAGAGGTTTAACTGGCAACGAAATCAGGCGCCGGGGAAACATTTCAAAGCCACAGCTTCCCCTGATATCATCTCCTCTGGGGAGACTCCAGCTATGGCCAACGCCAGGTATCAGGCAGAGAAGCAGGTGGGGAAGGGATATAGGAAAGACCTCGCCCGAATTTGAGAAGGCCGCACGTCAGTTTCCCCAATCGAACACCAAACTGGTGGCCCCCAAACTTTCTCTTGTCTCCCTCCCGCACACACCCCAGCCGCCCGCAATTCTTCTCTGGAGCCACTGCCCTGTGCGAAGACCGGTGAAAGGAGACGGGGAGTGAGGGGTGGGGTCAAAACTGGCAGTTCATTCCTGAACTGGACTGCCCAGAGCTGCTTAGACTGGAGAGACAGGCGGGCCGAGGCTCTCCGATCCCTCCGCTCTGGTGGAATTCGGATTCAATTCCTCTATCAATCAGCGCGCTGCGGCCAGTTTCCGCCTCACAGCCGGGGCTGGCCACTCCGTGACCGAGTCACCGCCCCCGTGCTGTCCCTGGGGCGCTACCGCTGCAGGCCTGGCCTGTGTGTCGGTCGCCGCCGCGGCCTAAAGCTTTTAGCCCGGAGTCGCTGTGATTCCGGGAATTTCAATCCCGCGGTCGGTTGCACGCCCTAATCCGTGAGGGTGGGCGTTGGGATACTGGGATTTCAGGTTTGATTGAGGAAATACCCCACAGATAACCAAAAGTCTTGCCTGCCATCCCCACCCGAGGCGGTGATAGGATCTCTACAGAAAGAAAACAGTTTGGCACGGTGACCAGGGAGCAGAGGAAGGGGTAGGGAAACGAAGGGTGTCTCCGGACTGAAAATTCCAATATACAAACTTCTCAAAGCGCTCTCGCAAAGTTCCTGGAGCTTCCTCCACCTGGCTCTCTGCTCCTCCCCCCACGCCTACCCGCTTAAGACGCCGCTAGGCTCTACATCCCAGCGTTGGCTCCCCAGGGTCCCCAGGGGGTCCACACTGCAGCCCCTGCCGAGGCAGAGCCCGCCATTTCTAATGAGAGGTTCGCACCCGGACACAGGCGCCGTTAAAGTAGCTGATTTCAGGGTTTGGTGCTCTGGGTAGGGGGCTGCTCGCTCCCCTGGGGAATGAGATGGCCTTTGAAGGCTCCACTAGAACGCACCCCCTCGCCCCTCGTACCACTCCTCTAGCTTCTTCACTACTCCGCTGAGAGTGGCCTAGCATCTAGAGGTGCAAGCCGAAAAAGGGGCCCGGGCCGAGGAAAGCCCCAGCGCCTACGCTGGACCGAGATCCGGTCCCGACCCAGGCCCGGCGCTGGGGCGGGGAGAGAGGTATCGAGGGCCGGGCAGCGGGGAGGGGCGAGCTGACCCAGTACTAACCCGCGTCCTAGCGCCTCCCGCTGCCCCTCCCGGCGCAGGCCGGAGGGGGCGGGCAGGGACTCCCAGCGCCAGGGCTTGCGTCCCCGCCCCGCCCCGCCCTGCGCGCAGTATCCTCCGGGGTGGGCGGCCTCGCCTGGAAGGCGCCCCGGCGATTGGCGACTCGGGAAGGAGACGCGAGGAAAAGTCGAATAAGAGGGCGAGACGTCAGACCCGAGATTTGGGGAAGGGCAGGGGAGGAGGTGAGGGCGGGGACGGACACACAGACACAGCCTCAGACACCGATCCACGGATCCACACCCCCCGCACGGCACCTTAAGTGTCCCCAACTTTAGGCCGCCTGAGCCCAGGGCGCCGCCGAGGCCAGGGGTGGGGGTGGTGGGGGAGTTATGGGAGTAGGCAGAGTGAGATAAAAAGAGGAGAGAAGAAAGAGTGAACGGAGCAGAAAGGGGAGAAGAGAGAAGGAATAAAGAGAACGGAAAAGCAGGAGAGGGAAAAGAGTTTCCGAGAGTCCAGGAGAGTGAAAGAGCCCGAAGGAGCGGAAGCGATCCTAGGGGCAAGAGGAGCGCAGAGAGGGAGGGAAGAGGAAGGGCGAGGAGGGGGAGTGAAAACTAGAGGAGGGCGAAGGAAGCGAGGCGCGACACTGCTCGGGGAGAGGAGGGCAGTGAGGAGCGAGGCGCGGGCAGAGGCTGCTCCGGCTGGCAAGAGGAGGGAGCGCGGCGCAGAGAGGAGGGGCTTGCGGGCCCGTAGAAATGTCAATCAGAGCCCGGAGCCCCGGGAATCTCCGCCAATCTGTTCGGACCTGACCTGGCTCCTCGCCGCCGCCGCCGCCGCCGCCGCCGCCGCCGCCGCGGAGCAGATCAATAGGCGAACGCGGAGCGCCGCTCAGCGCGGGAGGCAGCGCGGCCCCAGCCCGGCCCAGCCCCCGATGCGCGCCGGAGCCCGCGGGCGGCGCTGAGCAGGGCGGCCCCGGGGGCCGGGCCCCCTCTCCGTCCGTGCCCCGCGGGCCATCATGTCCTTCCCCCAGCTCGGATACCAGTACATCCGTCCGCTCTACCCACCCGAGCGCCCGGGGGCCGCCAGCGGCGGCGGCAACGCTGGGGCCCGGAGCGGCCCAGGAGCCGGAGCCTCGGAGCTGGCCGCCTCCGGGTCCCTGTCCAACGTGCTCTCCTCCGTGTACGGGGCGCCCTATGCCGCGGCGGCAGCGGCTGCCGCAGCCGCCCAAGGCTACGGTGCCTTTCTGCCCTACGCCGCCGAGCTGCCCATCTTCCCGCAGCTGGTAAGCGCCCAGGAAGCCGGGGTGGGGTGGAGGAGGGCTGGAGAGCTGGGGCGCGGGAAGAGGTGAGCGCGCGGGAGTAGATGAGCGCGGCCCAGGCCGGGAGGGTGGAGGCAGCGACGGCTAGGGCTCACCCGCTCTACCTCCGCGCGTGTCCCTTCCCTCCCCATGTGCGTACAGGGCGCGCAGTACGAGCTGAAAGACAGCCCGGGGGTGCAGCATCCGGCCGCGGCCGCCGCGTTTCCGCACCCGCACCCCGCCTTCTACCCGTATGGCCAGTACCAGTTCGGGGACCCGTCCCGTCCCAAGAACGCCACCCGGGAAAGCACTAGCACGCTCAAGGCCTGGCTCAACGAGCACCGCAAGAACCCCTACCCCACCAAGGGCGAGAAGATCATGCTGGCCATCATCACCAAGATGACCCTCACCCAGGTGTCCACCTGGTTCGCCAACGCGCGCCGGCGCCTCAAGAAAGAGAACAAGATGACTTGGGCGCCCCGCAGCCGCACCGACGAGGAGGGCAACGCCTACGGGAGCGAGCGCGAGGAGGAAGACGAGGAGGAGGATGAAGAAGACAGCAAACGCGAGCTGGAGCTGGAGGAGGAGGAGCTCGTGGGGGAGGAGGAGGACACGGGGGGCGAGGGCCTGGCGGACGACGACGAGGACGAGGAGATCGATTTGGAGAACTTAGACGGTGCGGCCACGGGGCCTGAGCTCGCCTTGGCTGGGGCGGAGCACAGGGACGGCGACCTCGGCCTGAGACCCATTTCAGACTCCAAGAATAGCGACTCGGACGACAGCTCGGAGGGCCTGGAGGAGCGTCCACTGCCGGTGTTGAGTCTGGCCCCAGCGCCACCGCCGGTGGCCGCGGTCCCGCCGTCTCCGCCCTCGCCGCCTGCGGGCCTGGACCCCTGCGCTCCGGCGCCAGCGCCCGCCTCAGCCCTGCAGAAGCCCAAGATCTGGTCCCTGGCCGAGACGGCCACAAGCCCGGACAACCCGCGCCCCTCGCCTCCGGGCGCCGGGGGTTCTCCCCCTGGAGCCGCCGTCGCGCCCCCAGCCCTGCAGCTCTCTCCAGCCGCCGCGGCCGCCGCGGCTCACAGACTCGTCTCGGCGCCTCTGAGCAAGTTCCCCGCTTGGACCAACCGGCCGTTCCCAGGCCCGCCGCCGGGGCCCCGCCCGCACCCACTCTCCCTGCTCGGCTCGGCCCCTCCACACCTGCTGGGACTTCCCGGAGCCTCGGGCCACCCGGCCGCCGCCGCCGCTGCCTTCGCTAGGCCGGCGGAGCCCGAGGGCGGAACAGGTGACTACTGAGCACTGGGTGCGGAGGGAGGGGGTGGGTTCTGGGGGTCGCCAGGGGGCAGACGGAGATGGGCACGACCCCGGGGACGCAGGACGCTTACCACCCCGCGCCTGCCTCGAGCTGCCCTGAGTGCTGGAATGGAGCGTTCTAAAGGCCTTCCTTTTTCTTCCCCGCTTCCCTTAGATCGCTGTAGTGCCTTGGAAGTGGAGAAAAAGTTACTCAAGACAGCCTTCCAGCCCGTGCCCAGGCGGTAAGAGACCCCGCGGTAGGGGCAATGGTGGGACAGGCAAGTGGGGGAGGAACGAACGCGGAGGCCCACTCGTCTTTTGCCCCCGGGGGAACGCCGCCGGGACGCGCTTTAACAAGTGACCGAACCCCACAGCCCTCCGTAGTCCCCGCGGGCCCACAGCCGGCTTGGCCTTCCCGGTCCTGGCACCCGGGCGCGGCCCAGGGTATGGCGCGGTGGGCGCCGGAGCCCGGCCTGGCCAGCAGGTCCCTGGAGCGGGCGGCGGCTCTGGGACGCCCCCTCAGGGGTCTTCCAGCCGAGGCCTCGGGTCTGAAGCCGTGCTGCCCTTCTGATAGTTACACCGGAGACCCAACTTCTGCAGCTGGAACGCGGCTGACACTGAGACACCTCCCAGACCTCCCTCTGGCCTCAGCCGCCGGGTTGGGTCTCCGGGTCCTAGGCAGCGCCGGTACCTCGCAACTCTTACTACTACCATTGCTTCTTTCTTCCAGGCCCCAGAACCACCTGGATGCCGCTCTGGTCCTCTCGGCTCTCTCCTCGTCTTAGTACTTATTTTTAAAAAATTTTAAATCGTTGTAATAATTGTAAAAAAAAAATTGCTCTGTATAGTTATGACTTGTAAGCATGTCCGTCTATGAATACCTTAAAAAAAAAAAAAAAAAACTAAACAAAAAAAAAAAAAAAAAAAAAAAAAAAAAAAAATTTTTTGGTTTGGTTGATTTTGGGGGGTGGAGTTTCCGTGAGAATAAGCGTGTCTGACTTTTTTTGTATATACAGCAAAATGTACATATGTGTGAACCAAATTGTACAAGAAAGTATCTATTTTTGGCTAAATAAATGAGCTGTTGCCACTTTGACTATAAGCTGCCTGTCTGACCGCCCCCCCACCAATGATGGATCTATTTGGTTTCTGTTTTGTTTTATTTTATCCACTCCCCACACCCCCCATGTTTGAAGAGTTGCTGGGATCAGCGGAAAGGGAGAATAAGACCATTTTTTCCAAGGAGAGCAGTAACGGAGGAGACAGAGAAGTGGTGGGCCTGGGCTCGCCCTTGGAGGTGAGGCAGTTGCAGAAGTCCAGGGGCGCCCATGGGAAAGGGCAGAGAAGACAGCGGGAAAACGGACACGGTGCCCTCCAAGGAGCCTGAGTGGTTAGACCCACCCTGCCGGTCCACCGTAGAGCCTACTCTGATGACAAAGCAGAAAGACTCAGAGAAGGGTCTGGAAGCTGAAGGACTAGGGTGGGAAGTTCTCATCACTCCAGCAACCCCATTCTTAGATAGGCACAACTGAGGTTTGCTCAGTCCAAACTCCTTCCAACTTAATTGCGCCCCTAAACTCTTCCTTCTAGATACAAGGGTGTGGGGTGGCGGTGAGTAGGGCGAGGGTATGGAGGAGCCGGCAGCCTAGGGATGCCCATCGTTTCTTCTTGGTGACTGTGCCCAGCCCGAATGGAGAGATGGGGACCCAAGTCCTGGTAGTATCTGTGCGTCTTGGCACCCCAGCGGGTTTTTCCCAAGTGCCCTGGAAGGACAGCTTTCTGGGCTCCCGTGGAGGGGAATAGGGGTGTTCCCGCCCGTAGTACCTGTGTATCCTGGATTGAGGCTCCCCGCCTGTCCCCTGGTGGGCTGGCTGGGGGAGGGAGCCAGGAAATTTGGGGCTGGAGCTCCCTCTACAGGACAAAAGCGCCACTAGGCACCTCTGGCAGCCTCTCCAGCCAGGACAGGCCAGGCCCTCCGCGGCCCCTTCTTCGCTCCCTCCTTGACCTCTTGTCTTCTCTTTCAGTCCGCCCGCCTGGCCCAACTCTGACTTGAACAAGTTGTAGGGAGCATGGGAAGAGTGCCGCCGAAGCAGGGGGTACCTTGTTTATACCTCAGTCCCCAGGTTTAGTTGGTAAACTTACAGGGTGGCTGGATATCAGGTGTTTGTCCCCACCCACCCCCTGTGTGGGGGGCCTGTGGCAGTCCCGCGGGTCCCCTGGGAGGTTTGGAAAGAGCTTGCAGACCCAAAGCCATAGAAGAAGGCACAGCATGTTCAATTTAGTGTACACTTCTAGGGCCGGCCAGAGCAGGGTAGGTCATGGAAGGCCCCATCCATGTCTCAGGCAGCTCCCCGCATGGCCCCCAGGGAACCCCACAGAATCTGGGTAAACAGAGTGTGGTGGCCCCTAGGGGCAAGGGGGAAAGAGGGTCTGTTGGTGGCCAGTATGAGTTGGTGGCCTTTCCCAGAGCGCTGGTGAAACAGGTTGGTCTCTGAGCAAAGACCTTCCAAGGGAGGCTGCGACTCCCTTCTTGCCCCTGCCCCAGAGGTGGGAGATGTCTCTCAGGTTCCCTCCCCTTCCAGCTCTTTATCAGTGGTGTTTGTGGGGTTCAGACTCCTTCCCAGTTCCCAGAAGCGGGCTGTGGTCCAGCTCAGGCACTGGGCATGGCGGCCTGCCACATGGAACGGGCTTTAACTCTCTGGGTCTTAAACGTCAGAGGCCAGGGTTTCGGGTCCAGGCAGAGGCCTCTGCTGTTGGCCTGAGTATCTTGAGGTGGGCGGTCAGCTAGTGCCTTCAGGCTTCATTGTGGCGCAGACCCAGCTCTCCAGTCTCCAGCCTGTGAAACTCTGGGCAGATAATTAACTTCTCTGTGCTCTATTTCCTCATCTGTGAAATGGGAATCATGGCGCCTACCTCACAGGAGGGGCTGATGAGAGAAAGCAGGTCTCGTGCGGACATGCCCAGGGAAGGTAAATAGCCTTAGTCTTACTAATACACTATTCCAGACTCCCAGACCCCTCTCTTCATCTCTGGGCACAATTCTGTCCACCCACTCCCCTCGACCATGACAATGAGGTATGTGGCTTCCAAGCACCTCAGGACCCAGGTCAACCCAGGGAGAAAGGTAAGTCCCCGGACCAGGGCGATCGGGGGAGGGGTCACAGCAGCAGGCAGATAGCCTTTCCACGTGGAACGACCACCAAGGGAGGAGGGAAGACATCTGCTCACAGGGAGGTGGGTGTGGAGAGGCCAAGCCAAGCTGGGAAAGGTCTGACCCGCCCCCCTGTCCTTGGCGACTCTCTAGTGTAAACCCTGCAGCCAGCTCACCTCTTCAGACCAGCTCATTCCAGGGATAATGGTCCCCGGATGAGACCAGTTTTGCCCCTACTGGAAGGGCGGGGTGTGGGGGGTGCCAGAGGAAAGCTGGGGGAGACCTGGGAGTGGCTTCTCTGTCCCACAGAACACATGGGCCCTTCACATGGCCCCATACTGACCCCCATAAGAGAATGCGATCAAAACGAAAAAGATCCCATGGGCTTTCTAGCCAAAATAGGGCAGAGGAAGCAGCTCTCCTCCCCATTTCACCAGAAACAAGTTCTCCGTCCTCCTCCTTGAGCCACCCCCTCCTCTCCCTCCTTTCAGGGATCCCAGGAAGTGCCCCTGACCACACTTTATTGTGCGGATCTAAAATTTTAAAAAGAAAAAGGAAGCTATAGGGGTAGGGTTCACAGAGAGAGAGAGAGAGAGAGAAGGAAGCCAGAGAAGAACAAGGAGTAAGAGAGAGAGAATATCTGGGAATCCTATCCTGGGTCCTGATTAAGCTTCAGTTAGAAATAAAATATGTCAATCACTCCGCCTGGAAGGGGTTCCTGCTGTCGGGGCTGGTTATGCAAAGCACGGCAAGGTGTATGGGGATAATCAATTAGGTCAGAGGAAGGAGTGTATGTCACTGCTTCCCTCATTATCTGCATGGAGCTGGAGGGGGGGGGGCATCATCGGGCCAGAGAGCCAGAGGAGAATAAAATTATTTCCCTAAGTGATGGCCCACCTCTGGGACTGGGACAGTCACCGTTTCCAATTGAATTTATTTTCACGGAAATACAGGGAGGAGGAAGCAGGGTCCGGTCAGAGGGCAACATGGGAAAGCTAGTGCAGCAGAGGCTTCCCCCGGAGTGGAGAGGAAACGGTGCTCCGGCCACCTACCTTTCCCAGGTGAGGAGAGAGGAGAGGGCAGGGCATCACCTGCTGAGCCGGTGGTCTCCAGGCCCCCTGGAGGGACTACCCACTGTCTCAGGCCTGAGCTTTGGAAGGTAAGCAACAGGGATTGAATGCTTGGGTAAGAATTGGATGTCACACATCTTCACTGATTTGTTGGGACTTTCCATCAGGAAGTCTGGCTTTAGGACTCATTATTCGTGTCTTTCTAGAACGTTCTCTGTATCCTGTAACTCCTGGCTGCATGTACCCTCTGCCTCTACCAAATGAAAAAGGGCAATCAAGGGTATAGACAGATTGCATCTGTGGCTAGAGCTACCTCCAACTTGAGTAGAGGCAAGTATCATCCCAACTCGAGGCTCCACGTTCACCAGCTGCGTGATGGTGGGGACTGGATTAGATGACTTTGTTCCAAGCCAAGGTTGTCTCATATTGGGCATTAATGGAGGGGGGCCCATAACCTCTCTGGATGTTGCCTCCTGATCCTGATCAGCCTTGTCATCGGATCCAGCCAGTCAACATGACCCCATTGAAAATGTCCCCCAATGATTGTATCAGGGTCAACCTGGCTTACGTGGAGCTCCTGCTTCCCTCCCAACAGAGGCTCCAGTCCCTCTAAAGACCATCCTGATTGTTTGCGTGGAAAACCCCACAAGGCATCTTTTCCCGAGGGTAGAAGGGGTGAGTAGCCAGGGCAAGCTTTGGAAGAGGTCCTGAGGTAGAGCAGTAGTTCCCTGCTGGGGGAGCCCCCACTCCCAGGACACATGACAATATCTGAGGACACTTTCCACTGCCATGACTGGGATGCTGCTGGCATGTCATGGTTGGAGACCAGAGATGTGGCTGACACCAGGGATGCTGTCCCACAGACACAGGTAGGCCCCGACGGCAGAGAATCATGGGGCCCAAATTGTACATCATGCCTCCGTCGAGAAATCAAGGAGGGGAGGGAGGGGGGAGGTGGCTGGGGCGATTAGAGCAGTATGTTTTCTCCCAGAAACACACAGCTTGCGGTGGGAAACCTTAAAGAAGAATGCTAAGGGGGGGGTTGCCTTTTGCTCTTTAAGACTTATCACCCTGGAAGGGGGCCAAGGGGGTGAGAGGGCATAAGCAGGAAACTTGGCCAGCCTGGAAACTGGTATAGTAGGTTTTGGCTCCCTGAACTGCTGGACGTGGGACCATCTCAGGAGGGAGAGACAGAGTCATCTCCAAAGAGGATGTGTGTCTGGAAATTTGGGGCCTTTCTCCCTGGATATTTATATCAGGAGAAGGTTACGGGAATGTTCTCATAGATGAAAGCCTGACTCCCGTGGTTTGGCTCATAATTGCCACCTCTGAACCACTGCCAGCCCTTCCTGTGCATAAATGTGCCCATTCATTTACCTCTTATTTTACCCCAGAGCAGGTGTGTGTGTGTGTGTGTGTGTGTGTGTGTGTGTGTGTGTGTGTGTGTGAGGGAGCGTGCACACGCATGGGTGTGCATGAGTGTGCGTGGTTGTGTGGGTGCGGTTGTATGTGTGTGAGAGTGTCCGTGGGTGCGTGTGGGTGTGTGAGTGTGCACAGGTGCGTGTGGGAGCATGTAGGTGTGCGGGTGTGGAT